CATAAACATACATGTGTATGTCTATGGTTTTCTTAATGAATACCACGAATCCATGCATTAAAGTTTAAAATGAGAATTTTATCTTTACATGAATATTCTCGTGAATATTTTACATAGCAAATACAATTTTTAATCTTATTTTGATTCAAATAATTTATGAAAGGAAAACTGAAAGTTATGATTTAATTACTAAAGTTATTAATAAACTACAGCGTAATTCTTTAATTTAAAAAATACGGTATTAACAAATTTTCAAATAAATTTTGATATGTTTGGGATTGACGTAAATTAATGGATGTAATATAATTACACAGGACCACAAAAAAAAAATAAGTGGAAGGGTCCCTTTCAGCAACAATGCATTTCTTATTAATAATAATAAAAATAACAATTACAGTAATATTACATTATAATATAATGTGTAATTATATTATATTAATAATTGTAACAATAATTCCCTCATCAAGAGTAATGATGATTTTAATATACACCATTTCCTCAAATTTTTGAAAAAATATTTCTCATTGCTTCACGTAAAAATGACCCCTTTATCCTAAACAAGTGAATCACTACCTTTCTAATATCACCGGCTTCTCATAAAGTTTGATAAAGCTCGATGGCGATCTGGCGGTATACTATCATAATATCAGAATCTAAAGTAATGTGTGATAAAGACACGAAACAAAATCTCTCATAATCACTTTTGTACGTTTTTTACGTTAATTTATATCCAATAAATGGGTTTTTATTTATTTTCACCATCTGGATGACAGTACCTAAAGTTGAGAGTAAGTTGCTTTGCAGTACAGTATTGTTATACTATTTAAATAAATAAAAAGAAAAGAAATAATTTCATTGCTAAAAAATATAATAATAAGCTTAAGCTCTCATCTTAGATGACGTCATCTAGATTGTATCACCTTACGATTCCACTATTTACAAACGAATTAATACATTCCCAGAAATTATTAATCACAAAAAAAAGTGGACATTTTTAGCGCTTGTGAAGCGGTTTTACAGTTTTATATTACTACTTTTATTCAGAGGTTACAATATTAAAAAAAGAAAAAGTTTTTTTGATGTTTTTGAAATGTTGTGTACTATTGAGGGATTCAATTTATTGTTGCATTTATTTATTTTGTTGTCGAAAAACAATGTTAATCCTATATATTAATTATACTTGAAATTACTTACATAGATTGCATGACCATTGCTTTTTGTATCTATATCTATTGTGCTGTATTGTACTGTATCTATTGTGAGATTCCATGAAGTGTTTGACTATTAGTTATAACCGGCTCTTTTTGAATTAGTCACCATATTGAGCCAACGCATGAAATTTGAGAAGCTACAGTATCGACCAGGTATACATGAGTAAGATTGCATTTATCAGTTGCCGCATTCGGCTTGAACATCGCGGACGTAAAGGTGCGTTAAGTGCGGATACTTTCAAAGTAAAAAAATGGATAATCGGAAAAAAAGTGGATCGCTGTTAAACGTTTTACTTCTTACTTTTAATTTATTACTTCTCGTTGCCGTTTGCGACGCTGTAAAGGTACGTACAAATGTAATCTACGAAATTATGTTATTGTAGAGGAAATTGACTTTGATTTTTGTATAATTAACAATTGCTAAGCCATTGTAAACTTTCAAATTTACTCATATTATATGTTTTAACTGCATTAAGGACGTTCGGTAGAGATAGAACCCTGTGATGAATCTTTTTAAAATTTTAACCAGACGTTCTTATTGTTGTTACAATATAGCTGTTAAAATTTCAAGAGGTTCGTCTGTTTCGTTTCCGAGATATTGAATTTCAAAGTTCAGTCATTTTAACACGGTCGCTTATGGGGAAACTTATAAAAACTCAGTTTTAAAAAAATTGGCGTGATGAATGTCTCCAATTTTTTTATATGTCACAGATAATGTTAT